TGGGGATGATGATCTCACCAGTGCAGCAGCTTGGGGATGATGATCTCACCAGTGCAGCAGCTTGGGGATGATGATCTCACCAGTGCAGCAGCTTGGGGATGATGATCTCACCAGTGCAGCAGCTTGGGGATGATGATCTCACCAGTGCAGCAGCTTGGGGATGATGATCTCACCAGTGCAGCAGCTTGGGGATGATGATCTCACCAGTGCAGCAGCTTGGGGATGATGATCTCACCAGTGCAGCAGCTTGGGGATGATGATCTCACCAGTGCAGCAGCTTGGGGATGATGATCTCACCAGTGCAGCAGCTTGGGGATGATGATCTCACCAGTGCAGCAGCTTGGGGATGATGATCTCACCAGTGCAGCAGCTTGGGGATGATGATCTCACCAGTGCAGCAGCTTGGGGATGATGATCTCACCAGTGCAGCAGCTTGGGGATGATGATCTCACCAGTGCAGCAGCTTGGGGATGATGATCTCACCAGTGCAGCAGCTTGGGGATGATGATCTCACCAGTGCAGCAGCTTGGGGATGATGATCTCACCAGTGCAGCAGCTTGGGGATGATGATCTCACCAGTGCAGCAGCTTGGGGATGATGATCTCACCAGTGCAGCAGCTTGGGGATGATGATCTCACCAGTGCAGCAGCTTGGGGATGATGATCTCACCAGTGCAGCAGCTTGGGGATGATGATCTCACCAGTGCAGCAGCTTGGGGATGATGATCTCACCAGTGCAGCAGCTTGGGGATGATGATCTCACCAGTGCAGCAGCTTGGGGATGATGATCTCACCAGTGCAGCAGCTTGGGGATGATGATCTCACCAGTGCAGCAGCTTGGGGATGATGATCTCACCAGTGCAGCAGCTTGGGGATGATGATCTCACCAGTGCAGCAGCTTGGGGATGATGATCTCACCAGTGCAGCAGCTTGGGGATGATGATCTCACCAGTGCAGCAGCTTGGGGATGATGATCTCACCAGTGCAGCAGCTTGGGGATGATGATCTCACCAGTGCAGCAGCTTGGGGATGATGATCTCACCAGTGCAGCAGCTTGGGGATGATGATCTCACCAGTGCAGCAGCTTGGGGATGATGATCTCACCAGTGCAGCAGCTTGGGGATGATGATCTCACCAGTGCAGCAGCTTGGGGATGATGATCTCACCAGTGCAGCAGCTTGGGGATGATGATCTCACCAGTGCAGCAGCTTGGGGATGATGATCTCACCAGTGCAGCAGCTTGGGGATGATGATCTCACCAGTGCAGCAGCTTGGGGATGATGATCTCACCAGTGCAGCAGCTTGGGGATGATGATCTCACCAGTGCAGCAGCTTGGGGATGATGATCTCACCAGTGCAGCAGCTTGGGGATGATGATCTCACCAGTGCAGCAGCTTGGGGATGATGATCTCACCAGTGCAGCAGCTTGGGGATGATGATCTCACCAGTGCAGCAGCTTGGGGATGATGATCTCACCAGTGCAGCAGCTTGGGGATGATGATCTCACCAGTGCAGCAGCTTGGGGATGATGATCTCACCAGTGCAGCAGCTTGGGGATGATGATCTCACCAGTGCAGCAGCTTGGGGATGATGATCTCACCAGTGCAGCAGCTTGGGGATGATGATCTCACCAGTGCAGCAGCTTGGGGATGATGATCTCACCAGTGCAGCAGCTTGGGGATGATGATCTCACCAGTGCAGCAGCTTGGGGATGATGATCTCACCAGTGCAGCAGCTTGGGGATGATGATCTCACCAGTGCAGCAGCTTGGGGATGATGATCTCACCAGTGCAGCAGCTTGGGGATGATGATCTCACCAGTGCAGCAGCTTGGGGATGATGATCTCACCAGTGCAGCAGCTTGGGGATGATGATCTCACCAGTGCAGCAGCTTGGGGATGATGATCTCACCAGTGCAGCAGCTTGGGGATGATGATCTCACCAGTGCAGCAGCTTGGGGATGATGATCTCACCAGTGCAGCAGCTTGGGGATGATGATCTCACCAGTGCAGCAGCTTGGGGATGATGATCTCACCAGTGCAGCAGCTTGGGGATGATGATCTCACCAGTGCAGCAGCTTGGGGATGATGATCTCACCAGTGCAGCAGCTTGGGGATGATGATCTCACCAGTGCAGCAGCTTGGGGATGATGATCTCACCAGTGCAGCAGCTTGGGGATGATGATCTCACCAGTGCAGCAGCTTGGGGATGATGATCTCACCAGTGCAGCAGCTTGGGGATGATGATCTCACCAGTGCAGCAGCTTGGGGATGATGATCTCACCAGTGCAGCAGCTTGGGGATGATGATCTCACCAGTGCAGCAGCTTGGGGATGATGATCTCACCAGTGCAGCAGCTTGGGGATGATGATCTCACCAGTGCAGCAGCTTGGGGATGATGATCTCACCAGTGCAGCAGCTTGGGGATGATGATCTCACCAGTGCAGCAGCTTGGGGATGATGATCTCACCAGTGCAGCAGCTTGGGGATGATGATCTCACCAGTGCAGCAGCTTGGGGATGATGATCTCACCAGTGCAGCAGCTTGGGGATGATGATCTCACCAGTGCAGCAGCTTGGGGATGATGATCTCACCAGTGCAGCAGCTTGGGGATGATGATCTCACCAGTGCAGCAGCTTGGGGATGATGATCTCACCAGTGCAGCAGCTTGGGGATGATGATCTCACCAGTGCAGCAGCTTGGGGATGATGATCTCACCAGTGCAGCAGCTTGGGGATGATGATCTCACCAGTGCAGCAGCTTGGGGATGATGATCTCACCAGTGCAGCAGCTTGGGGATGATGATCTCACCAGTGCAGCAGCTTGGGGATGATGATCTCACCAGTGCAGCAGCTTGGGGATGATGATCTCACCAGTGCAGCAGCTTGGGGATGATGATCTCACCAGTGCAGCAGCTTGGGGATGATGATCTCACCAGTGCAGCAGCTTGGGGATGATGATCTCACCAGTGCAGCAGCTTGGGGATGATGATCTCACCAGTGCAGCAGCTTGGGGATGATGATCTCACCAGTGCAGCAGCTTGGGGATGATGATCTCACCAGTGCAGCAGCTTGGGGATGATGATCTCACCAGTGCAGCAGCTTGGGGATGATGATCTCACCAGTGCAGCAGCTTGGGGATGATGATCTCACCAGTGCAGCAGCTTGGGGATGATGATCTCACCAGTGCAGCAGCTTGGGGATGATGATCTCACCAGTGCAGCAGCTTGGGGATGATGATCTCACCAGTGCAGCAGCTTGGGGATGATGATCTCACCAGTGCAGCAGCTTGGGGATGATGATCTCACCAGTGCAGCAGCTTGGGGATGATGATCTCACCAGTGCAGCAGCTTGGGGATGATGATCTCACCAGTGCAGCAGCTTGGGGATGATGATCTCACCAGTGCAGCAGCTTGGGGATGATGATCTCACCAGTGCAGCAGCTTGGGGATGATGATCTCACCAGTGCAGCAGCTTGGGGATGATGATCTCACCAGTGCAGCAGCTTGGGGATGATGATCTCACCAGTGCAGCAGCTTGGGGATGATGATCTCACCAGTGCAGCAGCTTGGGGATGATGATCTCACCAGTGCAGCAGCTTGGGGATGATGATCTCACCAGTGCAGCAGCTTGGGGATGATGATCTCACCAGTGCAGCAGCTTGGGGATGATGATCTCACCAGTGCAGCAGCTTGGGGATGATGATCTCACCAGTGCAGCAGCTTGGGGATGATGATCTCACCAGTGCAGCAGCTTGGGGATGATGATCTCACCAGTGCAGCAGCTTGGGGATGATGATCTCACCAGTGCAGCAGCTTGGGGATGATGATCTCACCAGTGCAGCAGCTTGGGGATGATGATCTCACCAGTGCAGCAGCTTGGGGATGATGATCTCACCAGTGCAGCAGCTTGGGGATGATGATCTCACCAGTGCAGCAGCTTGGGGATGATGATCTCACCAGTGCAGCAGCTTGGGGATGATGATCTCACCAGTGCAGCAGCTTGGGGATGATGATCTCACCAGTGCAGCAGCTTGGGGATGATGATCTCACCAGTGCAGCAGCTTGGGGATGATGATCTCACCAGTGCAGCAGCTTGGGGATGATGATCTCACCAGTGCAGCAGCTTGGGGATGATGATCTCACCAGTGCAGCAGCTTGGGGATGATGATCTCACCAGTGCAGCAGCTTGGGGATGATGATCTCACCAGTGCAGCAGCTTGGGGATGATGATCTCACCAGTGCAGCAGCTTGGGGATGATGATCTCACCAGTGCAGCAGCTTGGGGATGATGATCTCACCAGTGCAGCAGCTTGGGGATGATGATCTCACCAGTGCAGCAGCTATGATCTCACCAGTGCAGCAGCTTGGGGATGATGATCTCACCAGTGCAGCAGCTTGGGGATGATGATCTCACCAGTGCAGCAGCTTGGGGATGATGATCTCACCAGTGCAGCAGCTTGGGGATGATGATCTCACCAGTGCAGCAGCTTGGGGATGATGATCTCACCAGTGCAGCAGCTTGGGGATGATGATCTCACCAGTGCAGCAGCTTGGGGATGATGATCTCACCAGTGCAGCAGCTTGGGGATGATGATCTCACCAGTGCAGCAGCTTGGGGATGATGATCTCACCAGTGCAGCAGCTTGGGGATGATGATCTCACCAGTGCAGCAGCTTGGGGATGATGATCTCACCAGTGCAGCAGCTTGGGGATGATGATCTCACCAGTGCAGCAGCTTGGGGATGATGATCTCACCAGTGCAGCAGCTTGGGGATGATGATCTTATTGGCCTCATTCACGCTCACAGCCGCCCCCAGGTACTCCACCATGGCGCCCCGCAGCTGCTGCCCCACACTCTCCGCCCGGTACACCCGCATCTGGTGGGGGTGGACGGGAGAGGCGTGCAGGTGGGAGTGGAAGAGAGGGTGTGTGAGGCTGAGGGAGGGTGGGCAGGGATGGCATGTAGATTGGGTGAAATGGAGATGGAGGCAGCATGGCAAGGTCAGAGCAGCGAGAGCAGCGGGGAATGGGGTTGCAGGGGGGCACTGACGGAGGGCGAGGAGCGAGTGCCGGAGCAGAGGGCGAAGGAAACAAGGGGCTCGGCGCGGGTGAGCGCACACAGCGAGCGCGCATCGTCCGGGCGGAACGTGGTGCTGGGTAGGGCGCGGATCTGATGGGGACGGACAGGTGGGATGGATTGGAGGAGCATGTGCAATTTTCAGTAAACCAACAGTGCAGGTAAAACAATGGCCAAGATATGATTGATGTTCTGGCACATTCCGAACACAAGGTTTTTTGCGACTCACAATGTAGGGCTTGTGTGTGCAGGCCCTGAGCACGGCGTGCTCGATGAGCAGCACACTGTAGAGCTGGCCGCCTATCAGGAAGCCCACCTGCCATGGCATGGTGGCACGGGCGTGATTGGAATGGTGGTATGGGCATGGATGGTATGGGCGGCATGGTGGCACAGAGAGAGTGGTGAAACGACACAAGAGGGCTTTGACCTTTGCTCCTCCCTTTTCCACCCACCATTATAGCATGGCACGTGTGCGCATGGCACGTGCCTGCATGCCACGTGTGAGCAGGGGCAGGGACAACGGCACTGACCTTGCTGAAGAGGGCAATGCGGTCAGCAAAGTCAGTGGGGACAGGGATGACGATGTAGATCTGCACGCATGCACACCATGCAGCATGCACACACCACAGGGTGAGCAGGGGAAGGGGAGGGACGGGGGGAGGGGCAGTTGTTGAAGGGTTGGAGCCGGATTGGAGAAAGTGGGGGGAAGCAAGTGGTGAAGGTGGGTGGGTGTGGAGAAACATAGCCGTGCAATCCTGGCTGTTGAGGTGCTTCCACTAGGGCCCTCACTGCCTCTGCCCCACTAGGCACAGAGCAGCAGCAGCAGCAGCAGCAGCAGCAGCAGCAGCAGCAGCAGCAGCATGCAGGGGGGAGTGAAGCACTGACGTAGAGCAGCAGGGCGTTGTAGATGTTGATCCAGAACGCCAGGCGCTCGTTGTGTGACAGCAGCGATGGATCCACTTCCTCCAGCTGCGCTGCCATGGCACTGGGTGTGGGGGGGAACGAGGAGGGGGGAGGAGGGGGGGGTAGGAGGCGGGTGGCACACAGGTAGGCAGTCAGGCATAAGAGAGGCAAGGAGAAGGAGCAAGAGGGAGACCCCCTCTTGGCTGCTGCCCCTTAAAGCTCCTTCCCTCCCCACCTTACACCCGCTCTCGCTCTCACCGGAAGTGCAGCAGGCGAGTGGCGTCAGCATGAGTCATGGTGGCCTCGGAGGGCGGGTGCTGCACGGCGAGCATCTGAATGTAGTTGCCCGCGTCGGGGCACGGGTGCTCGCCAAACACGCCGTACGGGTCCAGCTGCGCGCTGCTCAGCGCACTCCACTCCGTGGGGGCCGGCACCTCGCCACTCGTTCCAAAAAACTTCTCAAAGTCGTCTGCTCCCAACTCGCCCTTCTCTGCTGCAGCTGCAGCAGCTGCCGCTGCCGCTGCTGCTGCGGTCCCTGCTGCTGCTGCTGCGCTGCCTGCTGCGTCCTTGCCCCCTTGCTTCCCCTTCCCTCCCTTCTCCTTCTCCTTCTCCTTGCCCCCCTTCGCCCCTGCCCCGGGCCCCCCAGCGCCAGCAGCGGGGGGAGTGGCAGCGGGGGCGGGGGGAGCAGGGGGGGGCAGCACGCGGGCGACAGCAGTGACCACGCGCGTGGACGTGGTTCTCCCCAGCCGCAGGGCGCCGGCTGCAGCGCTGCCACTGCTGGGCGTGCTGGGGTTCGGGAACTCCCCGTGCCCCCCGCCCCCTCTCCTCCCACTGCTGTACGGCGATGCCACATCGCCGCCTCTCCCCTGCTGCTGCCCGCCCGCCCCCCACCCGCTCCCCCCTCCGGACGAGCGGTGGTGGCGGTGGCGGTGGCGCAGCCAGAGCGTGGTGGGCGTGCGCGGGCGCAGGCGCGGGCGCAGCGGCGAGGCGGAGGGCGGGCCGAGCAGGTCCAGCTCGGAGGCGCGGAGGTGGCGCAGGTCCACGTCCGTGTCGTCGTCGCCCACCTCCTCCCACTCCGACACCTCCGTCAGCGTCGCCTCCTCCATGCTCCCTCCCCCCCGCCTGCCCCTCCCCCGCCCATGCCTCGCCTGCCACTGCCCCCCTCGCCCGTCCCCATCATCCCACCCATACCGCCCGCTCCTGAACCCCGAGGGGCTCTCGCCGTCCGTGCTGCTGACACCATCCTCCCACGGCGCGCCGCCCACCGCCACGCCGCCATATGCCTGCGGGTATGGCCGCCCCGCCGCGTCCTCGTCGCTGCCGTACTCCTGCGCACCGCCCGCTGCTGTGCGCTTGTGGCGGCGCGGGGAGGAGCGAGGGGAGTGCGAGGAGTGCGAGGAGGGGTTGGCGGCGCTGCGGCTGCGGAAGAAGTTGCGGCGCCGTGAGGGGGGTTGGTGAGGGGGGCGGGGCAGGGGCGGGTCGGGGAAGGAGAGGGGCTGCGTGGAGGCGCCGAAGGTGGCGGCGCGTGGTGTGGTGGCAAAGCGGTCGGGCGATGTGACGGCGCCAAAGGCATGGCGGCGGTAGATCTCTGTTGGGGGAAGGGAGGGGGGCGATGGAGGATGCGTGAGCAAGCAGTGAAAGATGTGAGGAACACTTAAGGTGGGCGCGGCAGGGCGGGGCAGGGCAGAAAGCCACAGAGCAAGCAGGTGATACGGTGAAAAAGATGAATGAGAGCAAGCAGGTGGGACATGAAAGAGATGAAGGCGTTCGGACTGACGCAGGAGGCAGATGAGCATGTGCTCGGAGAGCAGGTTGGGGTGCGCCCTGAGGTCGTCCACGTCATCACGTGCCGTGAAGAGCTCGCACTCGGCGATCTCAAAGTCACCCGCCTCCATGCTGCGCATGCGCCGTGACGCCTGGCGGGGCCATACGGGGAGCGCCGTGAGCGGGCAGTGGGAAGGCAGAAAACGGTGGTGAGCGGAAGGGAGGAGGCATGGTAGAGAGGGGCAAAGCAAGGCAGTGATGAGGCTGTGTGAGACGCTGAGAGGCTAAAGGCAGGGAGGCAGGGGGTCGGGTGGTGGTGACCTGGTGGAAGATGTGCAGGATGGGGTGTGACCTGGTGGAAGATGTGCAGGATGGGGTGTGACCTGGTGGAAGATGTGCAGGATGGGGTGTGACCTGGTGGAAGATGTGCAGGATGGGGTGTGACCTGGTGGAAGATGTGCAGGATGGGGTGTGACCTGGTGGAAGATGTGACCTGGTGGAAGATGTGCAGGATGGTGGAGCCCTCGCCCGGCTCCACGCGGTACCCCTCCACCTGCCCCACTGCGCGTGAGCTTGGCGTGTTGAGGCCCCCCCACCACCGCCCTGATGCCTTCTCCTTCTCCCCCTTCGCCCCCGCCCCTCCACCCTTGTCAGCATCATTTCGTGCCAGGGAGAGCGCGCGGGTGAAGCGCGCTGCCAGATCCATCGCCCCGCCTCCCCCTCCCCGCTCCCTCTCCCGCTCCCTCTCCTTCTCCCTCTCCCTCTCCCTCTCCCTCTCCTTCTCCCTCTCCCACTCCCTCTCTCTCTCCCGCTCGCGATCGGCCGTGCGTCTGTCAGCAGCGGAGCCCCAGAAGCGCGACGACGAGGGCGTGAGGGCGCCCGTGTCCCCACCGCCCTGCACGTCCTCCTCCTCCTCTCCTGCCTCCCTCTCCGCCACCTGTCTCCGCCACAGGAGGAGCGGCAGTGAGGAGAACGGGAATGGGTAAGGGGTCGAAGAATCAGGTGCAGGCAGGCACAGTGGCAGGCGGGCAACAAGGGTGGAAATGGAGTGCCATGGCAGACAGGAAGGTGGAGGCCACGGATGATGTCGGTCCTCACAGCCACTCACCCCCGTCATGCACTCACCCCCAGTCATGCACTCACCCCCGTCATGCACTCACCCCCGTCATGCACTCACCCCCGTCATGCACTCACCCCCGTCATGCACTCACCCCCGTCATGCACTCACCCCCGTCATGCACTCACCCCCGTCATGCACTCACCCCCGTCATGCACTCACCCCCGTCATGCACTCACCCCCGTCATGCACTCACCCCCAGTCATGCACTCACCCCCGTCATGCACTCACCCCAGTCATGCACTCACCCCCGTCATGCACTCACCCCCGTCATGCACTCACCCCCGTCATGCACTCACCCCCGTCATGCACTCACCCCCGTCATGCACTCACCCCCGTCATGCACTCACCCCCGTCATGCACTCACCCCCGTCATGCACTCACCCCCGTCATGCACTCACCCCCGTCATGCACTCACCCCCGTCATGCACTCACCCCCGTCATGCACTCACCCCCGTCATGCACTCACCCCCGTCATGCACTCACCCCCGTCATGCACTCACCCCCGTCATGCACTCTCCCCGTCATGCACTCACCCCCAGTCATGCACTCACCCCCGTCATGCACTCACCCCAGTCATGCACTCACCCCCGTCATGCACTCACCCCCGTCATGCACTCACCCCCGTCATGCACTCACCCCCGTCATGCACTCACCCCCGTCATGCACTCACCCCCGTCATGCACTCACCCCCGTCATGCACTCACCCCCGTCATGCACTCACCCCCGTCATGCACTCACCCCCGTCATGCACTCACCCCCGTCATGCACTCACCCCCGTCATGCACTCACCCCCGTCATGCACTCACCCCCGTCATGCACTCACCCCCGTCATGCACTCACCCCCGTCATGCACTCACCCCCGTCATGCACTCACCCCCGTCATGCACTCACCCCCGTCATGCACTCACCCCCACTCAGGCACTCACCCCGGTCATGCACTCACCCCCGTCATGCACTCACCCCCGTCATGCACTCACCCCCGTCATGCACTCACCCCCGTCATGCACTCACCCCCGTCATGCACTCACCCCCGTCATGCACTCACCCCCGTCATGCACTCACCCCCGTCATGCACTCACCCCCGTCATGCACTCACCCCCGTCATGCACTCACCCCCAGTCATGCACTCACCCCCGTCATGCACTCACCCCAGTCATGCACTCACCCCCGTCATGCACTCACCCCCGTCATGCACTCACCCCCGTCATGCACTCACCCCCGTCAAGCACTCACCCCCGTCATGCACTCACCCCCGTCATGCACTCACCCCCGTCATGCACTCACCCCCGTCATGCACTCACCCCCGTCATGCACTCACCCCCGTCATGCACTCACCCCCGTCATGCACTCACCCCCGTCATGCACTCACCCCAGTCATGCACTCACCCCCGTCATGCACTCACCCCCGTCATGCACTCACCCCCGTCATGCACTCACCCCCGTCATGCACTCACCCCCGTCATGCACTCACCCCCGTCATGCACTCACCCCCGTCATGCACTCACCCCCGTCATGCACTCACCCCCGTCATGCACTCACCCCCGTCATGCACTCACCCCCGTCATGCACTCACCCCCGTCATGCACTCACCCCCGTCATGCACTCACCCCCGTCATGCACTCACCCCCGTCATGCACTCACCCCCGTCATGCACTCACCCCCGTCATGCACTCACCCACAGTCATGCACTCACCCCCAGTCATGCACTCACCCCCGTCATGCACTCACCCCCGTCATGCACTCACCCCCGTCATGCACTCACCCCCGTCATGCACTCACCCCCGTCATGCACTCACCCCCGTCATGCACTCACCCCCACTCAGGCACTCACCCCGGTCATGCACTCACCCCCGTCATGCACTCACCCCCGTCATGCACTCACCCCCGTCATGCACTCACCCCCGTCATGCACTCACCCCCGGTCAGGCACTCACCCCGGTCATGCACTCACCCCCGTCATGCACTCACCCCCGTCATGCACTCACCCCCGTCATGCACTCACCCCCGTCATGCACTCACCCCCGTCATGCACTCACCCCCGTCATGCACTCACCCCCAGTCATGCACTCACCCCCGTCATGCACTCACCCCCGTCATGCACTCACCCCCGGTCAGGCACTCACCCCGGTCATGCACTCACCCCCGTCATGCACTCACCCCCGTCATGCACTCACCCCCGGTCAGGCACTCACCCCGGTCATGCACTCACCCCCGTCATGCACTCACCCCCGTCATGCACTCACCCCCGTCATGCACTCACCCCCGTCATGCACTCACCCCCGTCATGCACTCACCCCCGTCATGCACTCACCCCCAGTCATGCACTCACCCCCGTCATGCACTCACCCCCGTCATGCACTCACCCCCACTCAGGCACTCACCCCGGTCATGCACTCACCCCCGTCATGCACTCACCCCAGTCATGCACTCACCCCCGTCATGCACTCACCCCCACTCAGGCACTCACCCCGGTCATGCACTCACCCCCACTCAGGCACTCACCCCGGTCATGCACTCACCCCCACTCAGGCACTCACCCCGGTCATGCACTCACCCCCACTCAGGCACTCACCCCGGTCATGCGGGCATCCATGGCACCACGGCTCTGGTCGAGGGCACGGCGGGAGGAGGTGGGGGTGAAGGGCGCGCACATGGGCTGGGGGGACGCCTCGTCCGACATGCCCTCCTCGCCCTCCGCCCGTCCTCCCCCCCCCACCGCCAGCGGCTCCAGTGCCTGGCGCCGCCCCGAGGCGTTGCGCGAGCGCGAGCGCCAGCGCGAGCGCGGGGACGGCAGCGGGCCGCTGAGGCTGCGCGCGCTGTGGCGGGGGGAGGGCCAGGGCGCGTGGGGGGCGGGCTGGGCCAAGTGCGAGGCGGGCAGGGAGCGGCGCGAGGCGGAGGGGGGGCGGCCCGTGGAGGGCGCAGGGCTGGCAGAGGCGGTGGAGGGGGAGGCGAGCCAGGGGGGCAGCGCGGAGGAGTGCGGCTCGGAGGTGAGTGAGGCATCGTCAGGCAGGTCGGAGAGCGAGAGGTCGTGGGGGAAGGAGGAGGCGGGGTCCGGTGGGAGGGAGGAGAAGGACGCAAAGGACAGCATGGCCGCTGCTGCTGCTGGCAGCGCCGTGCCCTGTGCCAACGCCTCGTTCAGCTGAAGGTGGGGTTGAGAGGGTGCGGTGAGGGGGAAAACAGGCGGGAACCAGCAATGTGTGGTAAGACGTGGAGTGTGATACGTGGGTTGACAAATGCGTTCAGGAAACTACTGTGCAAACGCTACTCCCACCTGCCAGCCGCCCTTCCACCTGCCACTTGACCTCTCACCTGGCACCTGCCCGCCCACCTGTGAGTTCCCTTCTCTCAGCAGCCCCTCATGCCGCTCCAACTGCGACAGCTGGCTCTCCAGCTGCTGTCTGCCATGGGGTCATGGCGGCATGGGGCATGGGAGGGTATGGGGAACGGGAGAGCATGGAGGCTTGGGGCATTATAGGCCGGAACACTGTACACACGAGGGATGAGGTGTGGTCACGTGGTACAAAAGAAATCTCCTGTTTCCACTCAACAAGTACAACAACTCTCTCACCCCTTGCTGCAGCTCACATCATGTGCTGCAGCTCACATCATGTGCTGCAGCTCACATCATGTGCTGCAGCTCACATCATGTGCTGCAGCTCACATCATGTGCTGCAGCTCACATCATGTGCTGCAGCTCACATCATGTGGTGCAGCTCACATCATGTGCTGCAGCTCACATCATGTGCTGCAGCTCACATCATGTGCTGCAGCTCACATCATGTGCTGCAGCTCACATCATGTGCTGCAGCTCACATCATGTGCTGCAGCTCACATCATGTGCTGCAGCTCACATCATGTGCTGCAGCTGTGCGCGCTGCTCCTCGTGCCCCCCGCGGCGCAGCAGGGCGCGGTGCTGGCGGTCGCGGTTGATCCACACGAGGCGCTGCACGTCCATCCACCGCCGCGCCACCCTCACCTCGCCCCTCAGCCACTCCACCTCCGCTGCTTCCCTCTTCTCCTCCTCCTCCACCTCCTGCCACCACGCCCACCGCCACACGCAGCACAGCACGCCATGCAGCACAGGGGGAAATGGGCGGGGGAAGAAGGACAAAGGAGAGGGGGGAGAAGGAGGGTTTTATAAGGAGAGGGTGAAGGGATGTGGAGGATCAGAGAGTGGACAAAGGGATTATGAGCAGGTGGAAGAAAGAGATGCGGCAGTAGAATCATTCGCAAGGGCAGTGGGGATGGGGAGGGGCGACACAAAGGCAGTACCGGGGAGGGTTTGGCGGGCGGGTCGAGGAAGATGCCGTTGTGCAGCAGATGGTACTCCACTGCGCTCCGCCTTGCCCTCCTGCCCTCCACCTCCTCCTTGAGCTCACCAGTCTGTGCCGCACGCCACATGGGAGGGGAGGCAGGTGAGATCAAGGGAAGTGAAGGGAGCCGGACGAAAGTGAGGGGAAACAGAGCACATGGCATTGAATGCACCTGCATAAAAAACGTACGACAAGGCCTTTTGCCTCTTGTATACCGCACCATCCTCTCCCACCTCCTCTCAGTCTCTCTGCTCTCTCTTGCCCACTTCCCATCGCCTCTCGTCTCTCACACAGCCCGACTCAAGCATCCCTTCCCCCCAAGACATCCCTCCTGACCCCCCACCAAGCTCACCTCCGCCACCAGCCGAGCCAGCACGCGGCGTCGCCGCCTCGCCAGGCGCCGTGCTGCCGCCCTGTCCGCCGCCGGCCCTCCCTTGCCGCCTGCTCTGCCGCCCCGTGCCGCGTTCTCAGCAGCGAGGGCGGCAGCAGCCTGCTGGCGCCGCTGCTGCTCCCGCAGCCGCACCGCCCTCACCGCCTCGTCCCACGCTCGCTTCTTCTCCGCCTCTTCCGCCCGCCTCCTCTCCTCCTCCATAGCCTCTGCCTCTGTCCCCCCCGCTGTCCCCTGCCCCTGCTGCGGGTCATGCGGCTGCGCATGCCAGTGGTGCTGCGAGGCCCACTGCGGCTTGGTGCTTGCATTCGCCGCCATCACCGCTGCTGCCAGGGCTGCATCTGCACGCGCCTTGCTCGCCTCTGCTGCACTCTGCTCCGCCACGCCACTCGCCCCCCCCCTGCTACCCGCCTCCTCCCTGCCCTCCTCTGCTCCCGCCCCATTCCCTGCCTCCCCGTCCGTGCGCCCCCCTTTTTGCTCCCCCACCGCATCTGCACTTTTCTGCTCTGCCCTACCCACACCACTCTGCTGCGCTTCTCGATCCACCCCCTCCTCCCCTCTGGTCCGCAGCACCACCACCCTCTCCGCCGCTGCTGCGCCGGCCCACACGTCACCGCCAGCGCCAGCAGGGGCGAGCAGGGAGGCAGCACGGCGCCCGGCACGGCTCTCCCTAACGCTGTCCGAGTGGCTGCGGGGGAACGCCGCTCGCGCCCACCCCACGCCCGTCCCGCCGCGCTGCACCCCGCCCAGCCCCGCCACAGCAGCGCCCAGAGCAGGCGGCGCTGCCCACACCTCCCCGGCGGTGTGCGTGCGGGGCACCCCCGCCGGGCCCAGGGGCAGCACCACCACGCCATCGCCCCCCGCACTCGCGTCCCCCGCCAGCACATACGCGTCCCACGCCGCCTCCTCCTCCGCCCGCGCCTCCTCCTCCCCCTCTGTCTCCGCCCCGCCCTTGCCCTTCCCCCCGCCGCCCCTGCCCGCGCGCTTCCCCCCCAGTCCGCCCTTGGCAAGGCTGCGCACGACACGTGCGCCCCACCCCATGACGCCGTGCCATGCGGGGCGGCCACCCGCCTGCCAGGCGGAGGCATCAGCAGCCAGCAGGGGGGAGAAGGCCGCGTCCAGCGACCGCACCCGCCGCACCCGCCTCCCCCGCCCCTCCCCCCCCGCGCCCTCCGCCTCCCCCTCCGCGCCCTCCCCCCTCTCATGCTGCTCCGCCATTTGTTCTTCCCCCTGAGCCCCCCAGGCGGCTTGCTCTGCCCCGTCCACCGCGGCTGCTGCGCCTGGCGCTGCAGCAGCGGGCGCAGCCCCCTCTGCTGTGGGGGCGGCTGGTGCAGAAGCAGCAGCGGGCAGGGGAGGCGCGAGCAGTCGGGGCGAGGCAATGTCGCCCGCGGCACCCACGCGGGACTCTAAGCGCCCCCTCACTGCCTGCCGTGCCACCTCGCCCTCAACACCACCCACCCCCCCATCTTGCCCGTCCACCCCTCCGGCCCCCTTGCCTCCACCCGCCTCCCCCTCCTTGCCCTCCTCCGCCTTGCCCCCTTCCGCCTCTTTGCCCCCCTCCTCTTTACCTACGCCTGGCTCCGCTGCACTCTCCCCTCCCTGCATTCCCTCTCCCCCCTCACTCGCACCTTTTTCCCCCTCATCCTTGCGTCCCCCGTCGTTGCTGCCCCCATCGCTGATCCGCACAGCCTCCTCCGCCACCTCCCCTTCCATTGTCTGCTCGCTTCCGCCCGCACCCTCCGTCGCCTGCGCCGGCCCTCCTCCTCCCTCTGTCACACTCTCCCCCTCACCAGCGTCTTCACCTTCCGCCCCACCCTCCGTGTCTCCCCCGTTCACGCGGCTCTCCTCCACTGCTCCTGGCGCTACACTCCCTGCTGCCGCCTCTGCTGCCGCCCCTGCGCTCTCTGCTGCCGCCCCTGCGCTCTCTGCTGCCGCCCCTGCGCTCTCTGCTGCCGCCCCTGCGCTCTCTGTTGCCGCCCCTGCGCCGTCTGCCCGCGCGGCAGCAGTGGCGGAAGAGGCAGCGTTGCGCGGAGACGCCATGCTGCTGCCAGGGGTCCGCGCACTTGCCCTCGCCGCCCCGCTGCTGCCATTCGAGCGGGGCGACGACATGGCATGCCCTGCACTCCCCCTCACCGCGCGCTCGCCTTTGCGCGGCCTCGCGCCCCTCCCCTTGGCGCCCTGCGCTGGCTCTCCGTTTGAATCCGCAGTTCCCTCGCTCCTGCGCCGCCCCTCGCCCCTCGCCTTCACCCCCTCGCCCGCCGCATTCTCGCCCCCTCCTCGCCCGCCCGCGTCTCGCCCGCCTGTGCGCCGCCCGCTGGTGCCGTGCTCGCTTCTGCGCCGCGCGGGAGCTCCCCGCTCGTCGTTCCGCGCCTCAGCCGCGCCCGTGTCATCGAGGCTCCCCGCGCCCTCCTCGCCCTTCATCCCGCCGCTGCTCCGTTCCCCCTCGCCTGCCCCTGCCGCCTCCATCGGCTTTCCCGCCCCCCCCTGCACGGCTTCCGCTTGTGCCCCGCTTGTATCCGCGTGCACCCCATTCCCCGCGCTGTCCCCCTCCATCCTCCGCTCCCTCCCTCCGCCTTATTCTCGCCCCCCTCCCCGCCGACTAACCCCCGCCTGTCTCTCCTCGCGCGAACCACCCTATTCCCCTGACCCTGGGCAATGGGACAGTAGGGGCGGTACTACTAATGCGCCTAAGCCGTCACTGCGCGGCCGCCTCACGGTCCTCGCGGCTCTACCGGGGCCACCACGCTGCCGCCACACGAGGGGCGCTCACATTGCCCACGCACACGATGCTAGCACAGGCGTCAGGCAATGGCGGCGTTGGGAACGAGGAATGTGACTGTCGTTAGGTCAGCAATGCGCTGCTCGTGAGCGCGGGCCATAGGCCGCCTGGATATTAGGGACTCGCGATAAGGAGTGCGCAAACACGTCTCGGAATGCCACAATCGAACTCGGTCGCTCGGCCACGGCGCGATGCGACGAAATGCGGTGGTCGCCACGCGGGTCGCGCTCCGTGCGGCAAGGCACGCGGCAGCGAGCAAGTGGCGTCAAGGCGCGTCGATCTCGAGGGGCTTCGGGAAAAATAGGAGTCATGCAAATTGTACGTGTCTAGTCAACATTTTGGGCGCGCTGCTATGATCCGCGGGTGGTGGTGGTGAGCGGGCGGGGTGGGTGGCAGGCAAGGGGCAGGTGGAGATCGTTCGGAAAGGGACTGCAGGGCCCACTGGCCAGGCGAAAACGGATGGCGAACGTGCCCCTCAGCTCAGCCTTGAGTGCCAATTCCCTCTCAGGCTCGCGACACACGAAAGCGCGTAAACGGGTAACACCGAGTTGTTCCGTCTTCCAGAAGTGAGTACAGCTATACTTCTCTAAATCCGGTTTATCAAGCACAATCACTCACTAAGGTCCATCAATGTCATAACCATCCCGGTCTGATTGCAACAACCTAACCTAGATGCTGTATCCAGTCGGCACGTATCCACTACATCTGCTTTCCCATGCCCAACAACCTCCAGAAAAAGTGATTACAACTAGTAGCAGCAGCCCTGGTCACGCTTCAAGCGACCCCCTTGCGCATGCTCCGGCAAGCCAAAGAAGGCTGCAGTGGTGACAGTCGCATTGCCAGGGAATTGAATCAACCGCGTGGTACAGTGCTGAGTAGGGAGGGCAGCGGCCACGCCTCTCCACATGCTTTTCTGTCTGAGCCGCTCCCCCAAGTGCTGCTCCACACTCTCTTGCACTGGGTCACAACACACGCCACCCCATGATGCTGCCCCACCAGAAAGTTCGTGGGCATGCATGCATGCACGCACGGTGGCAGTGACGAGGCGTGGCCTGCCCCACCTGCCATGCACCTGCTGCCAGCCCGCTGCAGCATGGTAGCAGCAGCGCTGCTGGCAGTGCAGCAGGTGCACAGGTGAACCAGCCGGTGCTTCTGATGTTCCTGTGAAGCCAGGGCATGTGCAAGGGGGAGAGCAAGGGTTGGGATGGAAAATGGGGAGTTGATGAGACGGGACAAGAGAGCGCGACACGCATGCCACAGAAAACATGCAACCCAGAAAGCCTGGAACCGTCCAGAATCAGATGGAGCACAGCAGAGGTGCAGAGAGGCGCAGTGAGCTAGCCCAGCACAGGCAGTGAAGCAACCCACCGCTTGAGAGGAGTTGTGGTGACGGAGTGGTGGTGGTGGTCAGGGCCCCCAGGGGTGGTGCGCGTGCTGCATCCAGTGCCATGAGTTGGGCGCCGCTGCTGCCTGCGGCGGCTGCAGAGAGGCCTGCGCTGCTGCTGCCTGCGACATGGATGGAGAGGCAGCAGCAGCGTGCATGGCTGGCATGGGCAGGGGAGCAGCGCCTGTGTGTGCAGTGCTGCCTGGTGGTGGTGGTGCTGAGGGCGCAGAGAAGGCGGAGGAGGCCATGACCTGATCCACTGCGCCCATGCCCCGCTGCACCCCGCCCCCATACTGCTGCCCCTCGTAGCCCGTCTGCTGCTGCGCATGCAGGTGAGGGAAAGGCTGTTGCCCTGCAGCAAGGGGTGCAGCAGAGGGGCCGGCGAAGAAAGAGTTGGGAGCAGCAGCTGCGCTTGGAGGGGTGTGGGTGAGGGATGTGGGCCACGCTGCTCCCACCCCACTCACTTGCGGAAAACCACTCTGGTACTCGCTGCCTCGCACTGCTGGTGGCGGCACGCGTGGCTGCAGGGTCAGTTGGTGTGCCTTGGCCAGCAGTGCACTCAGCTCATGCTCACTCAGCCCTGCGCCCAGCAGCGCCGTCAGGGCAGCAGAACCACTGGCAGGCGCAGTGGTGGCAGCAGAAGGAGCAGGGCCAGGTGGGGCGGTGGCAGCAGCATGGAGAGGTGCAGCACCCCACAGGCCAGGCAGGTCAGCAGCATGGGCATGGGCATGGGCATGGGCATGGGCATGGGTGTGCGCGAGGCGGTGGCGGTCCTGCCCGATCACTCCTGCTCCCGACGGCACTCGTCGCAGGCTGCCATCCGCGGCAGCAGCGGTGGCAGGCGAAGCAGGCAGAGGGTGCACGGTGGGCGAGGGTGCAGTGTGCATGGCAGGAGAGGAGGAGCGGGGGGAGGGTGAGGAGGAAGGGGGCAGGGAGGAGACATGCGGTGCAGCAGCGCCACTGAGCCCTGCAAGGAAGTCGCCACCCAAACCCTCACCGCCTGCTGCCAGCAGCCCTTGAGACACCTGCCATGCACCCCCCTGCGCACCTGCCCTGCCCCCACCCCCTGCTGCCTGCACCCCTGGCGCCATTTTTTCAACCGATTCAGTTGCCCTGGGAGCAGCGGCGTGCGGCGCAACAGCAGCAGCAGCAGCAGCAGCACCGGAGGCCCAGGGCTGAAACACAATCATTTCCTCCTCCTCCTCCTGCTCCTCCACGCCACCATTAGCAGCACCGCCAGCCAGCACCCCGTTGTGGCGCTCGGAGTGAGCAGCGAGCGTGTGAGCACTGAGCTCGCGCATGTGCTGCTCGCTCTGCTCCGCTGAGCTGTCCATGCCTATCAGCTCCTCCACCGCCCACAGCGGCACCTCCTCCCCATCCCCCTCCCCGTCCTCCTCGCCCTGCCCCTCGCCCCCTGCCTGCACCCCTGCCATCCCCCCAACAAGCCCCTGCCCCGCGCTTCCCATGCTTGCAGCACCCCAAGGCAGGGGCGCAGCGGGCAGGTGGTGGTTGGACGCGGGTGCAGGGCGAGCAGGAGCGGCGGAGGGAGCAGCGGAGGCAGTGGCTTGTGACCCTGCTGCCGCCTTGTCTGCACCACCCACGCTGTTGCCATGTGCCACGTGTGCGGGATGTGGTGCAGTGGCAGCACGCGGAGAGGGCAGCTGATCTGCCACGAGTGACGCGATGAAGAACCTCCCATGCCGCCTGCTGAAATGCAACACGCTGCTGCTGCTGCCGTCCCCCGGCGCCCATGCTGCCCCACCTGCACCACCTTGTACCCACCCAGACAGCGACAGGGCAGCGCGCACAGCCCTCCTGCCCCGCGCCCACACTGCCTCCTGCCCCTCCGCACCCCCCTTGCCGCCCTGCCAGCCGTCCACGTCCAGCTGTGCGTCCCTCTGCGCCTCGTTAGCCCCATCACTGCATGCATGCGGCAGCGGCTCAAAGCCCCTCAGCTCCACATCCTCCCACAGCCCAGCTGCACCACCGCTGCCCTCGCCCTGCCCGTCCCCCTGGCCCTGCACGCCCGCCTGCTGCTCCGCCAGCAGCGGTGGCAGCAGGTGCGTGTGCGTGTGCAGCAGGCGGTTGAGCACCACCACGGCCTGCCCCCACATGAACATGCGCGCCGCGCTCTCCCTGTCCTCACCGCCGCCCGCCGCGCCCGCGCCCTCGCCCGCGTGCCCCCCCGGCCCCGTCGCCTCATCGTGGGTGCGCGTGGCGAGGTGGGGGTGGGCGGCGAGCCATTGCAGGAAGACGGTGGCGGCGGGGAAGAGCGGCGAGGCGAGGGGCGAGGGGGAGGCGGCGCAGCGGGAGAGCAGGCGGCCGACAAACTCAAAGGCGAGCGTGACGGCGTGGCGCAGGCGGTCCGCCTGCTGCTGCAGCTCTGCGCCGGGGGGCGCGCCCGTGCTGGGGGGCGCGCCCGCGCTGGGCATGTCATCCGCATCGCTGGCGGTGCGAGGGGCGAAGGGGAAGGCGTGGTGCGGGGCGAGCATGGCGTGCACGGTGGACACGAGGCACGCCACCATCTGCACCACCACTGTGGCCTCCGCGCCCGCGGCGGGGACTGTGGGGCACGCGGAGGACCCTGCAGCCAGCAGGGGGTGCAGGGCGTGTGGCGGTGCGGCGAGCAGGCGCTCCAAGTCGTTCATGGCCGCCAGATACACGGCGCCAAAGGACTCCAGGCTGCACTCACACACCATGCACACCACGCACACCATGCATAAGAGGAAACAGAGGCACACACACACGAGATGAGAGCAACGTGAGGGGTTGGGCCCGAGGGCAGTGCGGAAGGCGAAGCAAGCAGATTGAGGTAAGAGATGAGGAGAGGGAGAGGACCTGGCGTGTGTGAAGAGGATGCCGTTGAGGCGCACGAATCGCGTACACAGATTCTTCCACGTCATCGCCAGTGCCTCAGCGGGCGCTCCTTGCGCTCCTTGTGCCTGCCCCGTTGCCTCCTGCGCCGCCCCTTGTGCTGCTTGAGGCCCCGACACACCCAGGCGATTGCAGCGATTGGCGTTCTGCACGACCAAGAGACGGGAGAGTGGAATGAGTTGGTGTGAGAACCACCTCGCGCTCAACTCCCTCGACCCATACAGCCGCAACCCTTTGCCCCGCTCACATCACTCCCACACTCCGCCACGCACACACGGACCCACTGTATGCACAGAAGCGGTAGGCACACGTGGCACGTCCTTGGACAGTGGAGGCGGGGGGCGAACGGCCTGGTGGCGCGGCGGCAGGCGGGCAAGGCGAAGCAATGAGGAGCGCGCACCTGGTCGAAGAGGACGAGCAGGTTGGTGCGGCCGGTGGCGAAGGGCTGCTTGCAGGCGATGCAGCGGTAGTAGCGGTACAGCGCCGCCACCTCGCTGCCCACGTACGTCGCCAGCACCGCCAGCTGCCCCGTTATGGCGAGAGAAAAGAAGGCGGTGGAGAGAGGCAACAGGGCGGTGGAAAGAGATTACAAGGCGGTGAAGAGAGACAGATGAAAGAACACTTGGGGAGAGAGGAAGAGAGAGGACGAACGCAGGTTGCGAGAGAGGCATGGAGAAGCGCAGGAAGACAGTGAAGCAAAGGCTGAAAACGGGAGGCAGTGAAGCAAAGGCGGAAAATGAAATTAGGGTTTGGAAGGTGGGTTATGGGGGGCACCTGGTTGTGCGGGTTGCCAGTGGACGGCAGCATGAGCGCCGCTTGCATGTAGTAGCCAGCAGCCACCGACCAATCACGGGTCGCCATGTCACCATCGACGACGAGTTCCCGGTAGCGCGCGAGGTCGCCCAGGTACACGAGGCACTGCTGGCACGCCGCGCGCCACTTGTCGCCGTCGCCCGCCCTGCCCTGCTGCGACTGCGAGTCTGCGACGCCGCGGTCGCACAGCAGGGCGCGGCGCGCCTTGAGCTTGCCGACGAGCTCGTGGAAGAAACCCGCCGCCTCCGACAGAAACCCGCGGTACACCGCCACCGCGCTCGCCGCCGTCGACGCTTCCGCGCGCTCGCCCGTCCCGTCGGACGCGCCTTGCGGACGCGCTTGCGCACGACGTGTGGCGGGGGACCCGCGGGAGAGGATCGAGACGGACGCGGGCTGGCGATCTTGCGTGGAACCCGCCTTGGACGCGGCCGGCGCGGAACGGATGCGGCGGATCTGCGCGCGGAACTCCTCGATGCGACTGTAGTGCAGGCGCCATAGCAGGTAGAGCACGTCGTGATCGACGGCGAAGCGGAAGTCGAGAAAGAGCAGCGCCTCATACGAGTCGCGGATCACCGCCCGCAGCTGCTGCACCGTCGCGTTCCGAGGGCTCTTGCTGGCCAGCAGCGCGCGCAGCTGCTGCTCCTGCTCGCCCACCTGCACACGGCGCAGGCATGGCGCGTCAAAGCGGCTGTAGGGCAAAGGAAGGATAACAACCAGCGCGGATCCAAACACTACTACAGGACCACCGTACCTTCAGCCATCGCCTGCGCACGTCCGGTTGAACCTGAGAAGCTTGGGAACTTGATGCGTTGCCGGTCATCATCCATCATGCTACGCTAAATATCTCGTAATTACTCGGCGCGCCAAAGATGGTCGGCGATGACGATTAGCTAGGGAAAGACCAGAGAACATAGCGATTCCCCAACAACACAAGTGAATGGAAGGAAGAGTGGGTGGGGTGGGATGCACGACAATCTCCTTCCGTGCTTCCGTGCTTCAGAACTCAGGTCGCGGTCCTGGGGTGTCCTGGGACATGCTGACCTGGAAAGTAACCTTTTTTGAGGTAGGCAACGCGTGCCCCTCGTCGCTGGGGGATGCCCGTGTTCTGTAAACCTGTACTCGTGTACCAATGAAATTCGCGCGCGATAGAGCAGGTCCACGTTGTCCCCACTACACTTCTGAAGTAGGGTCGTAAAAAATGTCGCAGGAGTGTACACTGGCAGCCCTGCGACGTGTGTGTCGGTGGGCATGTTGCCAGCACGTGGTACCAACGTGCGTGGTGCCCAGAGTTCGGGTGTCCTGGACACCCAGGACCGCGATCTCACTTCGCTCGCCTCATCCAATCATCATGCACCCCCAGGAAATACTGCCGAGATTTTGTTTGAATGCTGCGTTCTAAATTGGTCAAACAGATATCCAGAACGGTTGGGAGGGTATTAACGAACACGAATGTTAGGTCTTGTAACACACTCTCCGATTTGCACAAATACACCTATCAGCGCAATTTCAACTTGGTTCTAGCGCAAAGAAAAGTTTGGCGCCTACGATGACGGCTCTGTTTGCCGACAAATGCTAAGGAAGCGCATGGATCCCTATAGGCGTAGGAAAAAACATCGAACCACCTGAATGTTATTGCATATTCGTGAGGCCCATGCTCAAATACACATATAACAATGATTTCAGCTTGGTTCGTGCGCAAAGAAAAAATCGGCACCTGCAATGATGGCTGTGTTTGCCGACAAATGCTAAGAAAGCGCATGAATCTCCACAGGCGTAGGGAAAAGCATCGAACAACCTGAATGTTGTTTCATATTCGGGTGGCCCACGATCAAGTGTACCTACTAGAGCGATTTCAGCGTGGTTCATGCGCATAGAAAAGTTCGGCGCCTGCGATGAGGGCTGTGTCTGCCGACAAATAGTAACGAAGCGCATTAGTCTCTATAGGCGTAGGGAAAAGCATCAAACAACATGAATGTTATTGCATATTAGGGTGGCCCACGCTCAAATACACTTACCGGAGCAATTTCTCTCAGAAGAACTAGGCAAGAATGAATGAACTAGCAGAAGTTTGGGTACAAATATGTAACCCTAGTTGGGGTTGTACCCCATATTGGCTACCCCACTACAGCCTACAAGCATAATACAGTTTAACACACCCCCATAGGCAAAGTGGGGGAGAACAAAGGGTCACAAGACCAGTCCAGCAAAGCAAAGCAAAGCCCAGGGTGGATCACAACGTCACCACACTCCGAGCACAAGTAAAGGCCACAAGGCCAGTTCACATGCAGTGCTAGATATAGTACAAGACAAGCAACACAGTGATCAAAACCTAGCAAGCAAGCAACAAGATATATATAAAGTACAGTACAAAGAATGTCAAGCAGTGAGCAAGTGAGGAAATGTGGACACAAGGCCTAAAGAAGTACAGTGCCGCTGATGATCACTAGACGGGAGCGCCTTGGTGAAGATATCAGCAGTGTTGGCCTTCGAGTCCACGTACACAAGCCGAAGCTGACCGCGCTGCTGAAGCTCTCGGGTAAGAAAGTAGCGAAGAGCAATGTGCTTCGTCCTGTGCTCCAGTCTGTGCTCCTGACACAAGGCAAGAGCCGCCTTGTTGTCACCGTACAGAACTGGAGGAGAACTAGGCCGCTCTCCCAAGTCAGTCAGCAGGTAGGTGAGCCAGCGTAACTCCTGTGCAGCCATGGCTGTGGCGTAGATCTCAGCCTCACAACTAGAGCCGAGAACAGAGGAAGAGCGGGTGGACCGCCACGAGACAGAACCAGAGCCAAGGCTGAAGGTGTAACCCTGTGACGACCGCTGCGTAGCCAGGTCGTCCACCCAAGAAGCGTCCGAGTGACCAGTGAGGACAACTCTGTCGCGTCCTCCAAGCACCAGCCCCATGCCTGATGTACTGCACAAGTAACGCAGCACCCTCTTAGCAGCCTCCCAGTGCTCTCGCCTGTGTCTCCCAGGCGCAACGTAACGAGCAAGGATGCTAAGAGGGTACGCGAGGTCAGGTCGCGTGCAGGTCATCAGGTACATGAGGCAGCCTACAAGCTCTGGGTATGGGCCACTCGGCTCTACGGACTCGTTCGAAGGTGGAGCTGAGAGTGAGTGGCTGGTAGCCAGAGGTGTGGCCTGTGGTGAGGAGAACTGGAAGCCGAAGCGCTGAAGGACCTGCTGCACCATGTGTGACTGAGTCAGGGTGATGGTGCGGCGAGCTCTGTCCCGGGTGATCTGCAAGCCAAGGTAGCTACGCAGTTCACCCAGGTCAGTGCAGGTGTGTCTCTTCTGCAGCTCCGACTTCACACGAGCGAGTGCCTCAGTGTCAGCAGTAGCAAAGACCAAGTCGTCGACGTACACGAGAATGTAGAACGGCGGCAGCGACGTGTCTGTGCGCAGAAACAGTGACGGGTCAGCAGTAGACGGCGCGAACCCAAGAGCCGCAAGTGTAGTCCTCAGTGTGTCGTGCCACTCACGTGGCGCCTGGCGGAGACCGTAGACTGGCCGGCGGAGACTCCACTGGGTACCAGGGGGAAACGACCCAGTAAAGCCAGGTGGGCGGCGCAGCCAGATCTCCTCATGCAGGCTGCCCTGCAGGAACGCTGTGCTGAAGTCAAGAGAGTGAAGCTCGTAGTCACGCTGAGCAGCAACGTGCAGCAGAACCCGAAGAGTGGTCATCTTCGGGGTGGGGGAGAAGGTCTGGAAGAAGTCGACCCCCTGACGCTGACTGAAGCCTCTAGCAACGTAACGAGCCTTGAAGACAGGCGGAGAACCTGGCGGCCGCTTCACCCTGAAAATCCACATGCCATCGACGATGTTCGCCCCAGGAGGGGGAACCTCGTCGACGTAGGTGCCTGTGGACTTCCAGGATGCCATCTCTGCGTCCATGGCTGTCTGCCACTGAGAGGAGTAGGGACCCGAGATCGCCTCTGCGTAAGAGCGCGGAGTGGGGATGTCTAGTGCATCCGGGTCTCCCTCAGGGGCAAGCAACCAGGCCACGAGATGAGGTACAGCAGCCGCAAGAGAGTCAAAGTCCTCCTGCCTGTCCTCAAGGACGTCCGTGCCAAGAGCACACTCACCCCCGACGGACGGAGGACAGACAGACGCAGACTCTGACGCAGCAACAAGGCTAGCAGTGTAGTCTAGACGACAGGCAGCAGCAAAGTCAACCAACTCAGCGACCAGAGCAGACGCAGCCGAGGACTCAAAGGTAGGGTCAGTGACAACAGTAGCTAGGAGACGCGTGACTGTAGGGTGCTCAGCGCGATACCGGTCAGACTCAGGGTCCGGAACGGCAGGCAAAGAGGACTCAGGAGGAGACGGTAGAGGGACACGCCGAGGAGCAGTAGAGGGACGCAGAGTCATGTAGTGAGTGCCTGGGACAGGAGGAGGACGCTCACGACGGACACGACTACCAGTGCGAGCAGGACGAACAGGCGACGCAGGACGAGACTCAGGCTCACGACGCTCTGTAAGACCTCCTGTGGGACCAGTGTAAGGAGAGGGAGCAGGGAGAGGCGAGGCAGGCGGTAACTGTGACTGCGGCTGGACAGGCGGAGGACACTCTACGGAGGGAGGAGGACAAGGAGGAGGAGCCTGCCCAAGAACCTGCTAAAGGAGCGGTACGAAGTACGGTCGCGGCCGCGCAGCGTCTCCAGAAGCAGAAGAGACTCCAGCGGCCGGGTCCTCAGCACCAGCAGCAGCGCCACCGCTCGGGTCCTCAGCTCCAGCAGCAGCTCCACCAGGCGGGTCCGCAGCACTAGCAGCAGCGCCACCCCCAGAGTCGGCAGCTCCAACTCCGCTAGCACCGCCAGCGCCAGAGTCCCCAGCTCCAGCAGCTCCAGTCGCAGTGCTCCCAGAACAACCAGTCCCGGCAGCTCCAGTACCCCCAGTACGAGCACCCCCAGGACGAGCAGCCCCAGCACCCCCAACTCCAGCCGAGCCACTAGGACGGCGAAAGCGCCGGACGTACCAGTCACGAAGCTGCTGCGGTGTGAGAGACTGCTCAGCACCCCGAACCGGAGCACCCCCAGACGCAGTAACCCGAGGCTCCGTAGGCTCAGTAGCAACACCCCCAGGCTCAGTACCCGCAGGCTCAGTACCCGCAGGCTCAGCACCCCCAGTCGCAGCACCCCCAGGCTCAGCACCCCCAGGCGGCAAACTCTCAGGCACAGTACCCTCAGCTCCAGCACCCGCAGTCCCAGCACTCCCAGGCCCCGCACCCGCAGGCTCAGCACCCCCAGGCTCAGCACCCCCAGGCTCCGTACTCTCAGGCACCGTACCCTCAGCTCCAGCACCCTCAGTCCCAGCACCCGCAGCCCCACCCCCCCCAGGCCCAGCACCCCCAGGCTCAGCACCCCCAGGCTCAGCACTCCCAGCAGCACCACCCGCAGCAGCACCTGAGTCACCTGTGACCTCGACAGGCTCAGCGACGGGAGGAGGGTCTACCTGAGAGACACCTGAAGGAGCAGGACCCTGAGGGGGAAGGGGGTCTACCGGAGGGGGACCAGGAGCAAGGAAAAGCGGCGGGGGAGGGAGGGGGGCAGTGCGGTAGGGGAAGAGACGGTAAAAAGGGACCGACTCGTCAAAGGTGACATCCTGAGAGGCGAAGACCCGGCGCGAGGTGGGGTGGTAAAACTGCCAGCCAGGCGCGTCAGGGACAAAGCCAAGGAAGACACAGGGAAGCGTGCGGGAGGAGAGCTTGTCCGCGGACGTATCACGGACAAGGGCACGAGCACCCCACACCCGGAAGCGCGACGCATCGCCAACCTCCCCCGTCCAACGCAGTGTGGGCGAGGTCTCCGGCAAGGAGACACGGGG